TTAGCAGCCTCAACGGGGGCAGGCTTGGCCTCGGCAGCTGGCTTAGCAGCCTCAACGGGGGCAGGTTTGCTTGGAGGTGCTACCTTAATTTCTGATGGTTTAGCAGCTTTAATGGGGGCAGCAGTAAGCTCTGCATGTTCTTTCTCAACAGGGGGCACAATTACAGGCATTTGAATTGGCTTTTCAGGTGGGATCAGTGGAGGCAGTTCGTCATCAGCGGCTGCAGTAACAGTTTTTGATGAGGCTGCTTTAACTTCAAATGGTTTGGGAGGGCTTGAGGGAAGAGTTTCTGAAAATGAAACTGGTGCTGCTACAGCAGGCTTTGAAGTAACTTTAAAAGCAGGAGGTGCTGCAGCAGGCTTTGCAGCAGGTGGTGAGGGTTTCTTTGTCTCAACCGGGGCATGTTTAGCTTCAACTAATGGAGCCTCCGCTGGTTTTAGATCTGCTGCTGTGACCTTGCTCTCCTCAGAGACAGGCACAAATGCCTCTACTTTCTTAGGTTTTCCTTGCTTGCCAGCCTTGACAACTTTTGGAGTAGAGCGGTTAGCCTGGTAAGCAGAGGAACTAGCAGGTGAGGCTGCTAGGGGAGAGGGCACAGGTGACAAGGGGGTTGATTTCGGTGATGTGGGAGAGGAGGAAGAGGCAGACATAGAAGAGCGCTTTCTTCTGCCTGGGACAGCCTTTGGGGCAGAGGAACCCTGCATACTCTTGGCATCTTTGCCTTTGGGCTTAGCAGGGCCAGAAGCTGCCTGAGGTTGCTTGGAGGAAGCAGGGGCAGGAGGTGTAGCTGAATAGAAAAAGATTCTTTAAACTTTTTGACTGGATTGTTTAAGTCTTACTCATGCCAGTTAACAAACCAAGATGCAACCATATTTTTAGGGTTAGGAAAAGGACTTGCCTTACTTCATAGTTTGATACAAACTGCCACTCAAAATGCACAATACACACTACCAACTTCCACACTGAAAACCACATTCTACGTTTAGTTAGGATGCACTATGGATAAAAAGAAAGATGCATATAAAATTACATCTTGATATTAAAACAAAGTAACATAGCCAACTGGCCGATTGATTAAAGATGTTTTTGTCTAATATATATCAAATATTAGACTTGATAAAATTGAACCTTTTCATATATTTTTCACTTTATTTCCATTTTAATGACAAAACAGTTGTAACTGGTGTGGGGAGCATTGAATGACAACCGGTTGTGGAAAGAATAATTACCCTTTTTACAGATGATTAAAGTGCAGGACTTGCAGACAAAACAAGACCTAATGCTGAAAGAGTCCTGACTCACACTGACAAAAATCACTGCAACAGAGGCAGCAGAACAACCTTAATTAAGCCAACTTTCCAACACTCAAAAATGTCCCTACAATTTTGTTGTGTGGAAAACAACATGTCACGTTACTACTTGCGAACATAAGAAGGAGCGTTCCGGAAATACAATACAAAAAGGTGGGGGAGGAAGGGGACGCTGCTATAAACCAACCTGACAGGTGGCGAGTGGAAATAGGTGGGGCTTCACATTTGGAGGTCCCCTTAGACTGAACGGCCTTGGAAAGAAGTATAACAGGTTCTTTGTTGTCGAGATTTTCTTTTTGAGTGGCCACGTCAATGTTCACATCACCGGGCAATACTTCTTGAGTTGCAGTCAGGGAAAGGTTTCTAGGACTCTCTACTTTAATGTTTCCGTCTTCTCCGTTTAAACTGACATCTTTAGGAGCAGATGGTTCAGGAGCAGATGGCTCAGGAGCAGATGGTTCAGGATCAGATGGTTCAGGATCATTTGGCGTTTCTTCTGCCACTGTTTCTGTCTCTTCTCCAGAGGGATTTGCTTCGACAGGAATCTGCTTGGCCTCTTCACCAACCAATTCTTCAGCAGCAACCAAAGATTCCTGACTTTGTACCTCTTCAGTTGGAGCTTCAGCTGAAGGCATTGACTCTTCAGGAACTGGCAGACTAGCTGAAGCCTCCGCTGGGTCAGCAGCTGTTACTTGCTGTGAAACTGTTTCTTCCAGCCCACACTCTGTTTGTTCAGGCATTTCTTGAGTTGCAGCAACACCATTTGGTTGATCAATTCGAGACTCAATGCTAACTTCTGGGGGGCTTATTTCTTGGGCAGGAGCAGGGGGTTCTGGAGGATTCTCCAGTGGGACTTCTTTGTTCACTGTAGGAACAGCCATCTCAGGAGAAGTAGTAGTCAGTACTCCTGCAGCTGATGAAGGAAGAGCAGCGGCAGTAATGGGGAAGTAAAATTACAGTTGAGGAGCTCAAATGGCAGATTTTAAGAGCGTAATAAATATATTAGTGAAAAAGAAACGCGCTCCGCACGTGTAAGGAAGTTCAGTGATGTGGAACTGGCTCTTGATTTGCCCATTTAAAAACAGAGGGGGTGTTTGTGCACTCAAAGAAAGAAAAAGTGCCCATCCATGCAGTGTCCGAATGTGAGAGAAGTGTTTCAAGACCTTTAGTCCAGACAGCAGCCAGGTGCATTAAAAATAAAACATGAATCCATTTATAGTCCAAGATTATCGGTTTTAGATTTTCTAGTTTGTTTGCTCTGATCTGAAATAGTCGAGTTGCAAACTTAAGCATTTCTCCCCGGTTTAGTTTCTTTATTGCACACAAAAGCGAATATAACTTAACTAAAACGAATCACTAAAAACCATGTGAAGTACCTTGTCCCTTATAACTACACAAGCTGCTAGAGTTTGCTCGCTCTGCAGCATTCTAAAATGCAAAGCACATATGGCTACAGGTGCAGTTAATCTCAAACTTGAAGGACATCTGGTGGTTGGGTCGGAAAGATATCAGATCATATTCCCATCACAAATGAACTGCTCCAGAGTTCATTTGTGCCCAGACCAAGACTGTCTCATCTAAAAAAGGGCTCTGTCTGATCTAAAATATTTTGCTCAAGTGTATGTGTTTTTACTGCATTCAAACCTGCCTCATAAAAAAAAAAAAATCGCACCGTGGTGAAAAGAACAAACAAAGCAGAATCGGATTTCTCAAAAAAAAGTGCAGGTATGAAAACACTTGTGAATAATGGACTGCAATCATTTTAATTCTTAATTACTTTTACCGCTCAGGATGAATTACTGCACCGCTCCCTGGCAACTATGTGGAGTAACACTGAATAGTTAGTATATCAATGACTAAATAACATGGCAAGGCATCTCAGTTGCAAGCTGCAACTGATCAGTTAGTACAGAAGTCTTCGTCACATCCCTGAGCAGGAACCGCCACCCAATTACAAACCATGAAAACCCGGAGTGCTTACTGGTGAAAAGTGATGAATAATAATTTTAAAAGGCGTTATGGAATTATTAAGAACAGTTGATTCACTCTTACAAGCACAAATTGAATTTCTGCTCCAACATCCTGCCCGAAACAAAAGAACTCAAAATACATC